GATTATATTAGAACTACTACATACGTAATATTTATATAGAAGCACATATCTAAGGAATGTTATTCATAATCTATATGGATCGCATTTGTAGTCTACATACATATATTGAATATATCAGTTTAAAGTTGTTCTTAACTTTTCATAATGTTTGTTAATTTTACCTAAGAACATAAGATATACATATGTATATAATATATACATAAATACATGGTACATACTTCGGGGCTTACTTTTTTATATAGCAAGATCTTTCAATTGGTTGATTATATCATATGTACATATATGTATGTACATTCATATGTAGAAGTTCTTCTGATGCTCATTGCTTCATATCTACTGACATGTATATCGAGTCTCGATTATTCGTTCCTGCTAAAACGAAAATCGCGATACATCGAACAAAAAAATCGATCCCATAGAATCGATATTCGTTCCAATAATTCAGGATAATTTGAATTTCTGTGTAAATCGAAAAAAAAAGCTGATCCCTTTGCCATTTCGAACTATCGGGATTCTACTGTATATCTATAAAGAGTTAGATCTTAATAATCGCCTATTAAGGCTATAACTATATATAGGTGGATCCTAGCATTACAGTAGTGGAGTGCCAACCCGAGCTACTATACTATAGATAAAATAATATTGTATGTATGTATGTCTATAGAATGCATTTCCATACATATATACATATAAGCATGCAGCCATGCCCATGATCCTTTAGCATGCATACGGACACTTGAATACATATGCATATGTATACGTATGTATATATGTATGCAATTGTATGTGATTTTTTATACATATATGTATGCTACATTTCTCTTTGCTTTTTGTGTCTGCATTAAAGTTGACAAAGTTGCCAAATGTTGAGCTGGAAACGAAAGGCGCAAAAACACACGCACACACTTAAAAAGGCATACACACACACACACACAAACACACGCAGCTAGAGCAATGAAATGTGTGCTGCATATTTGTTACCAAATGAGTCTCTGGCTGCAATGGGAGTTGCAACAACAAAGCCGAGCACAGCAGAACTCTCTGCTTCCTTCCCCTTCTCCTTCGCCCTTCTCCATTCTCCTTCCCCTTCCACAAGCACTCACCCTGCCACACAGCTCCACTTGCCCTACCAGCCGTTTAACACTAACTAAGCAGCTTATTTTGTTGTTGCTGGCGATTTTTCTAATACACAAAAGAAACAGCAAGAGAGAGGGAGAGAGCGAGATGAAGATGTAGATGGAGAAAAAAATATATAATGTGCCGCAGGGTTGTGGCAGTGGGGCAGGGCGCTGGGCAAGTTAAGAAATCAAACAGCTGACATAAATAACATTTTAATTTAAATACGACAGGACAACGGCTACAACAACAACAGCAACTACAACAACAGCAATAATAATAACAAAAGCGGCACAGCACATCTTTTTACCGTTAAGGTAAAGCCAGCGAAGGCAAGGCAAGGCAATCACAGCAACAGCAGCAACACATATTTAAAGAGCAGCTCAGCAACAACAACAACAACAACAGCCACAGAGAGGGACAGCGAGCACGGCAGGCAGGCAGGCAAACAAAATTAAACAGCACCAACAACAATAAGCACATAGCAGCAATGAGAGAAGAGAAAAGGAACGGTAAAAATTCAAATGCATTTGCTTTGGCAGCATAGACACAGCAATGCCCTGTAAAAAAAAACTTTCAAAATCAAATAAATTAAGCTAAAATTTAACTAGATATGCGAAATTGTGTATGAAAAATATAGATAAATATATTTAAGAACTAAAAATATGTGCATTAAAATATGTATTTAAATTATAAATTATATTAGTATATATAAACACAAGTGATGCATTTAAACAAGTCTATATAAAGCTCTGTCTTGTTAAGAGAGTTTGAAAACAAAAGAAAAATATATCGTCGTTAATTGAAATAAAGATATCTCAGCATTATTTATATATACACAGAAATATACATTGTGTACAGTAACATAAATATAAATATTAACAATTACATAGAGAGTAGTGACAATAATTTAGCTTTCCTAATGAATATAATTATCTCAAATTGATTATGGCACCACAACGTTATTTATATACATATATCTACATATACAGAATGATATCTGCAGATATATGCACATGTGCATGTATATACGTCTATTTCTTAGCCAAATTGGAAGTTTTGATCAAGAAACATTTGAGCTTTGTCACAGTTTCGGGCGTTGGAATAATACTACCGGTAATCACTTTATTCGCCTGCATCGGCTGGGTGGGATTCTGTTTGGCCATCTGGTAATCGCCCGAATCGAAATATTTGTGCCCCTTATTCAGGCGCTTCTGCAAAAATACGGATCCAGCATTGGGTAAGCCCATTGGATATTTCTTTGCGATTAGCTTCTCCTCCTCCAATAGCTCCACTGATTTTGGCTCCTGCTTATCTTGATCCATGCTGATGCAAATATGTGTATATGCAAATATATATATTCCTAGACATATGTGGGTATGTAATTAATTTGCAAATCTACATATGTAAGCAAAATATGTTGGTAAATACCTGTATATTTATGCCGTTGGCCTCGAAAGTCTTGGAACGCTTTTAGCTTTAATTTGTAACTTAAATACTTTTTTTTTTTTGTTCAAACAAGTGAAATGTTGAAAAAGCGAGAGAACAGTGCTCGAATGGGAAAACTACGAAGCACTTATACAGCGTGACCAGCAAGGCTTACTTTGATCATAAACGACTTTTGATTTGAAGCGATAGGCCAACTATCGATAACAGCTAAAACTGGAATACTTTGATAAATTTAAAATACGATGAATTCCGATATGTAAATT